CTGTGTGTGAGGCTGTGTGTGAGGCTGTGTGTGCGTCTATGTGTGTGTGTCTGTGTGTTTCTGTGTGTGTCTGTGTGTGTGTCTGTGTGTGTGTGTCTGTGCGTGTGTGTCTGTGCGTGTGTGTCTGGCTGTATGTATGTTTGTGTGTCTTTTTGTGTGTTTTTCTGTGTGTCTGGCTGTGTGTCTGTTTGTGTGTCTGGATGTGTGTCTGTCTGTGTGTCTGTCTGTGTATCTGTCTGTGTGTCTGTCTGTGTATCTGGCTGTGTGTCTGTCTGTGTGTCTGTCTGTGTGTCTTTCTGTTTATCTGTCTGTGAGTCTGTCTGTGAGTCTGTCTGTGTGTCTGTCTGTGTTTCGAACGGAATAAAACCTGCTGCTAAATGAATTGCGTTATTGCCTGTGGTTATTGTTTCGGATAAAATCTCCTCATGGTAAATGTTTCTTTTTTCTAGTTTCTAAAATAATTCTGTAAATTTCGGTCAAGTATTTATTAAGTCTTTCTACTGGAGCTTTACTAGAAGATTGCTGGAATAATCCAAAATGTCTATATATGTTATATTGTTTTCAGAAGTCAAGGAATAGATTTCTCAAAATTAGCTAAGGCCAAATTATCTTGTCAAAAGCAATCTTAATATTAAAGATTTAGTTTCTATTACGGAATACCACAGTGTTTTGTTATGGACAACGAAAAGTGGCTAATTTCGGAAACTATCACTTTCATACTTCAGGATCAGTTATATATCGAAATCTATAAAGCTCCCCCTCCTTACAAAAGTTCAGTTAACGGGCAAGTGGATAGATTCCATTCCACCTTATACGAAATTATGAAATGTTTAAAAAATAACCGGAAGCAGAACAATTTCAATGTTACAATAGATCCAGACAGAACCACATAGAAAAAAGCAGAACAGAACAGGCAACAGACTTGGAAAATCATAACAAAGAACGTAAAAAATTACAAGACTACAATAGCGGATCTTAGTCTTCTTCGGCTTCAAGCTAACAGCTTGGTATAAGACAGAGACAGTGAAGGAAGACAGGGGTCTGAATTGGGAAAAATATCATAACAAACTAATGATTCCTTTCCCATGGATTGATGACGATTATACGGATCAGCTCATGTTTATATTAATAGCTGAATCATTTAACGATCAAAATTACCTTCCTTAACCATAGTGCAAATGCTTGAGTTTCCTAACGTTTCTATCGTCCACAATAAAACGAGATAATTCACCTATGTGAGTATGTATGGATGGAAAATGGATGGAAAGTATGTGGAGATTGAAAATTTTCTGCGGTAGGAATTAGTCGAGTACCAGCTCATAAGGACACTATTGAAATAACTAAAAACCGCATTACGATGCACAACAAACATAGGTGGAAACATCCCACCTTGGCTATTCGCGTGCTAGAGGAGCAAGCATACCCGCCGAGGCCATCTCTACAGATGCAGACTTAGTCATACAGGTCACTACAGGTCAACCACCATGTTACCGCCGCCATCGACGTAGTTCATAGTGCTGCAGCGATTACCAGCATGGGCAAACGCTGGAGTCACAATGCAGTCGGACGAGGTGAGTTGCACCAAATTTAAAGAAAGTAAGCAAACGCAAAATTTCCTTGTCTCGCCGAAGTAAGCCGATAGGCATGTATCAATGGACTAGCGTCGCTCACATAACGGTAACCGAGGGCAGTTAACTGAAGTACCGTTCACCACCCTTGGTTTTTTCTTTTGCTTGCTAGATGCGCTGAATTGTCCTCAGAATAGGCTGGAGCAGTAGCGAGATGAAATCGCTAAAGACAGAAAATGGTTGGCTAACTTGAGTCATTGGGCTCTGAGCTTGGTCAGTGCAAAGATTAAATCGCTGTCACTATCGCACTCCACTTTTATGTCTCGCTAACTAAAACACGCATGAATATATAAGATTTAATTTGGCTTTAGCAGTGGTTTACTCATCGTCCGTTAGTATGGGGTTTGCCACTCCTTTTTCAGCCTGATACATACATTTGCACAAAACCATTATATCCTGACTTCCCATTTTCAATGGGATCAGCGTATAATATTGAAAAACAATGCTATTATTTATTTGAGATGTGATAATTTTTATTTTAAATTCCAACAATTTAACAATAATAAACGATATGGATTTATTTAACATCACATAATAAAGCAACACCACGAAGCACCCAATGGTCTGGAGGCTTATTAGATTGAAGCCATAATGCACAAATATAATTCAGATCAGTGCGATTAATTTTTTTATAGACAGGACATGTGTATAGTTTTGGATTTTTTGCAGCTGTTGAGTATATAGCATAAACATGAACAACTGGCATAAGGGTAAATAAGACTTTGTTAATTGACTCCACTAGGCGCGATGTTCGCCTCTCCTATTCAGCTCCATCTACATATAAACCATGAATAAAAACTGCCTCTTTAGGGGACTTTTTGCACTCTTCATTATGCATTGTCACTTGGTCTAAAGCCCATCCTTGATGCGCGCGTGCAACTTCTTGACGCATTGCAGTAAGAAATCCTTGAGGATTAAAAAACCCCGACATCCAAAAAACAACTGGTCGCGATCCAAAACACCAATTGTAAAATTGAGTATGTCTGTCGATAAGCTCAGTAAACCAGAAGCCCAAACTAGAAGAGACCCAACTGCCCCGTTTAAATACAGTTGGTTCGCGTGCATTAAAAATATTATCCAGGGCATCTCTTAAGTTTTCGCTCATAATAATAGTTCCTTCCACTGCTAGCAACAGATCTTTAAATGTGGATCGAACAAGGATAATTATCTACAATTAAATAAATATTGAAATATATTCGTTTGTTACTTAATTCTATATTCATTTTACATACTCTTTGCATTCTATCTATTTCCTGTCGAAGAAATATATTCATGGAACTTGTGGCCCCAGCCGCTATGAGGATCTGCTTAACTTCAAATAAATCGAACGCTGGGGGAGTTTTGCTCAACATTTCTCGCACTTGACGAGCAACTCGATCTTCTCGAGTTTCAGATGTTCCGCTTGAGGATTCTTTTTGGATAGGTGGAATGGTAACGGATTACATAAGATAATTTTGATTTGAAATACTTACCTTTGGGTTGAATGGACATTATTTCATCTAATATATTTCTCATTGTATTTGTTTGATAAGTTATTTCGGCATTCGAATTAAAACCATACACTTGTGGAGGATCGACATTGAACATATTATCAATAGCTGATAAATATGCTTCGCGTTCTTTGAAACTGTATACGATGTATCCTTTAAAAAACTGAAAGCTCTCTTCGAAAAGGCCATCATGAAATCAAACTCGTGTAAACGTATTAAGGAGTCGCTTATCGTAATCATCGGTGACACGCCCACCATATTGCACTTCACCGAGCATGTAACGTACGGTTACCCAGCTAATACCCTTTCCAGGCTCAAGATCATCTAAATGGTTTTGCACAAATAAACAACTGGCCAACCAATCAGAGGAGTTAAACTCATAAGGGATATTCCATCCGAGGGGTCCGCTCCTGCACTACGGTATGCAGAAAAGATATTGAATAGACAAGAGACAAATAAAATGGGGACTGTGAATAGTCCAAGAAATCTTGGGATAAATTGGTATAAGTTCGTTTAAGTCCAGCTCGAATTCCTGCTGGTGGCTCATTTGTATATTTTAGTGACATCTGCAGTAGAGTTATAGGAAACATTGGGTGAGGCTCGGTGGTTATCCAAATACGAAATCCTGGATTGATATATATTTTACTTTGTCGTTCTAATTCAAGAATTTGAAACATAAGTTCATTCATGTAGTCTAAACCTAAATGACAGTTTTGCAAAAGCACCCATCCACCTTCCTCCATGCATGTCGCAATTAATTTGCGAGCGTGGATTTCTTGCCCCTGACCCATTGAAATTGGATGACATTTGAGCTCATTCTTTTTAGCTAATAATTCAATATTCGATGAAGGATCTGAGCCAAGGGAAAGAAAACAAATCATTGGCACAAGTTCTCTACTTTCTAATAGTAACTCCTCAAAATTAAGAACTCCCGGCTCTGCGAATCGATCGCCCAATGAATGAGATATATATTTTCAGCCTGTTACATGCATTTGCACAAAACCATTATATCCTGACTTCCCATTTCAATGGGATCAGCTTATAATATTGAAAAACAATGCTATTATTTATTTGAGATGTGATAATTTTTATTTTAAATTCCAACAATTTAACAATAATAAACGATATGGATTTATTTAACATCACATAATAAAGCAACACCACGAAGCACGCAATGGTCTGGAGGCTTATTAGATTGAAGCCATAATGCACAAATATAATTCAGATCAGTGCGATTAATTTTTTTATAGACAGGACATGTGTATAGTTTTGGATTTTTTGCAGCTGTTGAGTATATAGCATAAACATGAACAACTGGCATAAGGGTAAATAAGACTTTGTTAATTGACTCCACTAGGCGCGATGTTCGCCTCTCCTCTCCATAATAAAGCAACACCACGAAGCACCCAATGGTCTGGAGGCTTATTAGATTGAAGCCATAATGTACAAATATAATTCAGATCAGTGTATAGTTTTGGATTTTTTGCAGCTGTTGAGTATATAGCATAAACATGAACAACTGGCATAAGGGTAAATAAGACTTTGTTAATTGACTCCACTAGGCGCGATGTTCGCCTCTCCTATTCAGCTCCATCTACATATAAACCATGAATAAAAACTGCCTCTTTAGGGGACTTTTTGCACTCTTCATTATGCATTGTCACTTGGTCTAAAGCCCATCCTTGATGCGCGCGTGCAACTTCTTGACGCATTGCAGTAAGAAATCCTTGAGGATTAAAAAACCCCGACATCCAAAAAACAACTGGTCGCGATCCAAAACACCAATTGTAAAATTGAGTATGTCTGTCGATAAGCTCAGTAAACCAGAAGCCCAAACTAGAAGAGACCCAACTGCCCCGTTTAAATACAGTTGGTTCGCGTGCATTAAAAATATTATCCAGGGCATCTCTTAAGTTTTCGCTCATAATAATAGTTCCTTCCACTGCTAGCAACAGATCTTTAAATGTGGATCGAACAAGGATAATTATCTACAATTAAATAAATATTGAAATATATTCGTTTGTTATTTAATTCTATATTCATTTTACATACTCTTTGCATTCTATCTATTTCCTGTCGAAGAAATATATTCATGGAACTTGTGGCCCCAGCCGCTATGAGGATCTGCTTAACTTCAAATAAATCGAACGCTGGGGGAGTTTTGCTCAACATTTCTCGCACTTGACGAGCAACTCGATCTTCTCGAGTTTCAGATGTTCCGCTTGAGGATTCTTTTTGGATAGGTGGAATGGTAACGGATTACATAAGATAATTTTGATTTGAAATACTTACCTTTGGGTTGAATGGACATTATTTCATCTAATATATTTCTCATTGTATTTGTTTGATAAGTTATTTCGGCATTCGAATTAAAACCATACACTTGTGGAGGATCGACATTGAACATATTATCAATAGCTGATAAATATGCTTCGCGTTCTTTGAAACTGTATACGATGTATCCTTTAAAAAACTGAAAGCTCTCTTCGAAAAGGCCATCATGAAATCAAACTCGTGTAAACGTATTAAGGAGTCGCTTATCGTAATCATCGGTGACACGCCCACCATATTGCACTTCACCGAGCATGTAACGTACGGTTACCCAGCTAATACCCTTTCCAGGCTCAAGATCATCTAAATGGTTTTGCACAAATAAACAACTGGCCAACCAATCAGAGGAGTTAAACTCATAAGGGATATTCCATCCGAGGGGTCCGCTCCTGTACTACGGTATGCAGAAAAGATATTGAATAGACAAGAGACAAATAAAATGGGGACTGTGAATAGTCCAAGAAATCTTGGGATAAATTGGTATAAGTTCGTTTAAGTCCAGCTCGAATTCCTGCTGGTGGCTCATTTGTATATTTTAGTGACATCTGCAGTAGAGTTATAGGAAACATTGGGTGAGGCTCGGTGGTTATCCAAATACGAAATCCTGGATTGATATATATTTTACTTTGTCGTTCTAATTCAAGAATTTGAAACATAAGTTCATTCATGTAGTCTAAACCTAAATGACAGTTTTGCAAAAGCACCCATCCACCTTCCTCCATGCATGTCGCAATTAATTTGCGAGCGTGGATTTCTTGCCCCTGACCCATTGAAATTGGATGACATTTGAGCTCATTCTTTTTAGCTAATAATTCAATATTCGATGAAGGATCTGAGCCGAGGGGTCCAAATTTTCGCCGCTCCTGTACTACGGTATGCAGAAAAGATATTGAATAGACAAGAGACAAATAAAATGGGGACTGTGAATAGTCCAAGAAATCTTGGGATAAATTGGTATAAGTTCGTTTAAGTCCAGCTCGAATTCCTGCTGGTGGCTCATTTGTATATTTTAGTGACATCTGCAGTAGTGTTATAGGAAACATCGGGTGAGGCTCGGTGGTTATCCAAATACGAAATCCTGGATTGATATATATTTTACTTTGTCGTTCTAATTCAAGAATTTGAAACATAAGTTCATTCATGTAGTCTAAACCTAAATGACAGTTTTGCAAAAGCACCCATCCACCTTCCTCCATGCATGTCGCAATTAATTTGCGAGCGTGGATTTCTTGCCCCTGACCCATTGAAATTGGATGACATTTGAGCTCATTCTTTTTAGCTAATAATTCAATATTCGATGAAGGATCTGAGCCAAGGGAAAGAAAACAAATCATTGGCACAAGTTCTCTACTTTCTAATAGTAACTCCTCAAAATTAAGAACTCCCGGCTCTGCGAATCGATCGCCCAATGAATGAGATATATATTTTCAGCCTGTTACATGCATTTGCACAAAACCATTATATCCTGACTTCCCATTTCAATGGGATCAGCTTATAATATTGAAAAACAATGCTATTATTTATTTGAGATGTGATAATTTTTATTTTAAATTCCAACAATTTAACAATAATAAACGATATGGATTTATTTAACATCACATAATAAAGCAACACCACGAAGCACGCAATGGTCTGGAGGCTTATTAGATTGAAGCCATAATGCACAAATATAATTCAGATCAGTGCGATTAATTTTTTTATAGACAGGACATGTGTATAGTTTTGGATTTTTTGCAGCTGTTGAGTATATAGCATAAACATGAACAACTGGCATAAGGGTAAATAAGACTTTGTTAATTGACTCCACTAGGCGCGATGTTCGCCTCTCCTCTCCATAATAAAGCAACACCACGAAGCACCCAATGGTCTGGAGGCTTATTAGATTGAAGCCATAATGTACAAATATAATTCAGATCAGTGCGATTAATTTTTTTCTAGGCAGGACATGTGTATAGTTTTGGATTTTTTGCAGCTGTTGAGTATATAGCATAAACATGAACAACTGGCATAAGGGTAAATAAGACTTTGTTAATTGACTCCACTAGGCGCGATGTTCGCCTCTCCTATTCAGCTCCATCTACATATAAACCATGAATAAAAACTGCCTCTTTAGGGGACTTTTTGCACTCTTCATTATGCATTGTCACTTGGTCTAAAGCCCATCCTTGATGCGCGCGTGCAACTTCTTGACGCATTGCAGTAAGAAATCCTTGAGGATTAAAAAACCCCGACATCCAAAAAACAACTGGTCGCGATCCAAAACACCAATTGTAAAATTGAGTATGTCTGTCGATAAGCGCAGTAAACCAGAAGCCCAAACTAGAAGAGACCCAACTGCCCCGTTTAAATACAGTTGGTACGCGTGCATTAAAAATATTATCCAGGGCATCTCTTAAGTTTTCGCTCATAATAATAGTTCCTTCCACTGCTAGCAACAGATCTTTAAATGTGGATCGAACAAGGATAATTATCTACAATTAAATAAATATTGAAATATATTCGTTTGTTATTTAATTCTATATTCATTTTACATACTCTTTGCATTCTATCTATTTCCTGTCGAAGAAATATATTCATGGAACTTGTGGCCCCAGCCGCTATGAGGATCTGCTTAACTTCAAATAAATCGAACGCTGGGGGAGTTTTGCTCAACATTTCTCGCACTTGACGAGCAACTCGATCTTCTCGAGTTTCAGATGTTCCGCTTGAGGACTTTTTTTGGGATAGGTGGTATGGTAACGGATTACATAAGACAATTTTGATTTGAAATACTTACATTTGGGTTGAATGGACATTATTTCATCTAATATATTTCTCATTGTATTTGTTTGATAAGTTATTTCGGCATTCGAATTAAAACGATTAATTTTTTTATAGACAGGACATGTGTATAGTTTTGGATTTTTTGCAGCTGTTGAGTATATAGCATAAACATGAACAACTAGCATAAGGGTAAATAAAACTTTGTTAGTTGACTCCACTCCCATCCTTGATGCGCGCGTGCAACTTCTTGACGCATTGCAGTAAGAAATCCTTGAGGATTAAAAAACCCCGACTTCCAAAAAACAACTGGTCGCGATCCAAAACACCAATTGTAAAATTGAGTATGTCTGTCGATAAGCTCAGTAAACCAGAAGCCCAAACTAGAAGAGACCCAACTGCCCCGTTTAAATACAGTTGGTACGCGTGCATTAAAAATATTATCCAGGGCATCTCTTAAGTTTTCGCTCATAATAATAGTTCCTTCCACTGCTAGCAACAGATCTTTAAATGTGGATCGAACAAGGATAATTATCTACAATTAAATAAATATTGAAATATATTCGTATGTTATTTAATTCTATATTCATTTTACATACTCTTTGCATTCTATCTATTTCCTGTCGAAGAAATATATTCATGGAACTTGTGGCCCCAGCCGCTATGAGGATCTGCTTAACTTCAAATAAATCGAACGCTGGGGGAGTTTTGCTCAACATTTCTCGCACTTGACGAGCAACTCGATCTTCTCGAGTTTCAGATGTTCCGCTTGAGGACTTTTTTTGGGATAGGTGGTATGGTACCTGATTACATAAGACAATTTTGATTTGAAATACTTACATTTGGGTTGAATGGACATTATTTCATCTAATATATTTCTCATTGTATTTGTTTGATAAGTTATTTCGGCATTCGAATTAAAACGATTAATTGTATTATAGACAGGACATGTGTATAGTTTTGGATTTTTTGCAGCTGTTGAGTATATAGCATAAACATGAACAACTGGCATAAGGGTAAATAAGACTTTGTTAGTTGACTCCACTAGGCGCGATGTTCGCCTGTCCCATCCAGCTCCATCTACATATAAACCATGAATAAAAACTCCCTCTTTAGGGGGCTTTTTGCACTCTTCTGGACCTACTTTGAGTGCATCATTATGCATTGTCACTTGGTATAAAGCCCATCCTTGATGCGCGCGTGCAACTTCTTGACGCATTGCAGTAAGAAATCCTTGAGGATTAAAAACCCCGACATCCAAAAAACAACTGGTCGCGATCCAAAACACCAATTGTAAAATTGAGTATGTCTGTCGATAAGCTCAGTAAACCAGAAGCCCAAACTAGAAGAGACCCAACTGCCCCGTTTAAATACAGTTGGTACGCGTGCATTAAAAATATTATCCAGGGCATCTCTTAAGTTTTCGCTCATAATAATAGTTCCTTCCACTGCTAGCAACAGATCTTTAAATGTGGATCGAACAAGGATAATTATCTACAATTAAATAAATATTGAAATATATTCGTTTGTTATTTAATTCTATATTCATTTTACATACTCTTTGCATTCTATCTATTTCCTGTCGAAGAAATATATTCATGGAACTTGTGGCCCCAGCCGCTATGAGGATCTGCTTAACTTCAAATAAATCGAACGCTGGGGGAGTTTTGCTCAACATTTCTCGCACTTGACGAGCAACTCGATCTTCTCGAGTTTCAGATGTTCCGCTTGAGGACTTTTTTTGGGATAGGTGGTATGGTAACGGATTACATAAGACAATTTTGATTTGAAATACTTACATTTGGGTTGAATGGACATTATTTCATCTAATATATTTCTCATTGTATTTGTTTGATAAGTTATTTCGGCATTCGAATTAAAACGATTAATTTTTTTATAGACAGGACATGTGTATAGTTTTAGATTTTTTGCAGCTGTTGAGTATATAGCATAAACATGAACAACTGGCATAAGGGTAAATAAGACTTTGTTAGTTGACTCCACTAGGCGCGATGTTCGCCTGTCCCATCCAGCTCCATCTACATATAAACCATGAATAAAAACTCCCTCTTTAGGGGGCTTTTTGCACTCTTCTGGACCTATTTTGAGTGCATCATTATGCATTGTCACTTGGTCTAAAGCCCATCCTTGATGCGCGCGTGCAACTTCTTGACGCATTGCAGTAAGAAATCCTTGAGGTTTAAAAAACCCCGACATCCAAAAAACAACTGGTCGCGATCCAAAACACCAATTGTAAAATTGAGTATGTCTGTCGATAAGCTCAGTAAACCAGAAGCCCAAACTAGAAGAGACCCAACTGCCCCGTTTAAATACAGTTGGTACGCGTGCATTAAAAATATTATCCAGGGCATCTCTTAAGTTTTCGCTCATAATAATAGTTCCTTCCACTGCTAGCAACAGATCTTTAAATGTGGATCGAACAAGGATAATTATCTACAATTAAATAAATATTGAAATATATTCGTTTGTTATTTAATTCTATATTCATTTTACATACTCTTTGCATTCTATCTATTTCCTGTCGAAGAAATATATTCATGGAACTTGTGGCCCCAGCCGCTATGAGGATCTGCTTAACTTCAAATAAATCGAACGCTGGGGGAGTTTTGCTCAACATTTCTCGCACTTGACGAGCAACTCGATCTTCTCGAGTTTCAGATGTTCCGCTTGAGGACTTTTTTTGGGATAGGTGGTATGGTAACGGATTACATAAGACAATTTTGATTTGAAATACTTACATTTGGGTTGAATGGACATTATTTCATCTAATATATTTCTCATTGTATTTGTTTGATAAGTTATTTCGGCATTCGAATTAAAACGATTAATTTTTTTATAGACAGGACATGTGTATAGTTTTAGATTTTTTGCAGCTGTTGAGTATATAGCATAAACATGAACAACTGGCATAAGGGTAAATAAGACTTTGTTAGTTGACTCCACTAGGCGCGATGTTCGCCTGTCCCATCCAGCTCCATCTACATATAAACCATGAATAAAAACTCCCTCTTTAGGGGGCTTTTTGCACTCTTCTGGACCTATTTTGAGTGCATCATTATGCATTGTCACTTGGTCTAAAGCCCATCCTTGATGCGCGCGTGCAACTTCTTGACGCATTGCAGTAAGAAATCCTTGAGGATTAAAAAACCCCGACATCCAAAAAACAACTGGTCGCGATCCAAAACACCAATTGTAAAATTGAGTATGTCTGTCGATAAGCTCAGTAAACCAGAAGCCCAAACTAGAAGAGACCCAACTGCCCCGTTTAAATACAGTTGGTACGCGTGCATTAAAAATATTATCCAGGGCATCTCTTAAGTTTTCGCTCATAATAATAGTTCCTTCCACTGCTAGCAACAGATCTTTAAATGTGGATCGAACAAGGATAATTATCTACAATTAAATAAATATTGAAATATATTCGTATGTTATTTAATTCTATATTCATTTTACATACTCTTTGCATTCTATCTATTTCCTGTCGAAGAAATATATTCATGGAACTTGTGGCCCCAGCCGCTATGAGGATCTGCTTAACTTCAAATAAATCGAACGCTGGGGGAGTTTTGCTCAACATTTCTCGCACTTGACGAGCAACTCGATCTTCTCGAGTTGCATATCTTCCGCTTGAGGACTTTTTTTGGGATAGGTGGTATGGTAACGGATTACATAAGAAAATTTTGATTTGAAATACTTACATTTGGGTTGAATGGACATCATTTCATCTAATATATTTCTCATTGTATTTGTTTGATAAGTTATTTCGGCATTCGAATTAAAACGATTAATTTTTTTATAGACAGGACATGTGTATAGTTTTGGATTTTTTGCAGCTGTTGAGTATATAGCATAAACATGAACAACTGGCATAAGGGTAAATAAGACTTTGTTAGTTGACTCCACTAGGCGCGATGTTCGCCTGTCCCATCCAGCTCCATCTACATATAAACCATGAATGAAAACTCCCTCTTTAGGGGACTTTTTGCACTCTTCTGGACCTACTTTGAGTGCATCATTATGCATTGTCACTTGGTCTAAAGCCCATCCTTGATGCGCGCGTGCAACTTCTTGACGCATTGCAGTAAGAAATCCTTGAGGATTAAAAAACCCCGACATCCAAAAAACAACTGGTCGCGATCCAAAACACCAATTGTAAAATTGAGTATGTCTGTCGATAAGCTCAGTAAACCAGAAGCCCAAACTAGAAGAGACCCAACTGCCCCGTTTAAATACAGTTGGTACGCGTGCATTAAAAATATTATCCAGGGCATCTCTTAAGTTTTCGCTCATAATAATAGTTCCTTCCACTGCTAGCAACAGATCTTTAAATGTGGATCGAACAAGGATAATTATCTACAATTAAATAAATATTGAAATATATTGGTTTGTTATTTAATTCTATATTCATTTTACATACTCTTTGCATTCTATCTATTTCCTGTCGAAGAAATATATTCATGGAACTTGTGGCCCCAGCCGCTATGAGGATCTGCTTAACTTCAAATAAATCGAACGCTGGGGGAGTTTTGCTCAACATTTCTCGCACTTGACGAGCAACTCGATCTTCTCGAGTTTCAGACGTTCCGCTTGAGGATTCTTTTTGGATAGGTGGAATGGTAACGGATTACATAAGATAATTTTGATTTGTAATACTTACCTTTGGGTTGAATGGACATTATTTCATCTAATATATTTCTCATTGTATTTGTTTGATAAGTTATTTCGGCATTCGAATTAAAACCATACACTTGTGGAGGATCGACATTGAACATATTATCAATAGCTGATAAATATGCTTCGCGTTCTTTGAAACTGTATACGATGTATCCTTTAAAAAACTGAAAGCTCTCTTCGAAAAGGCCATCATGAAATCAAACTCGTGTAAACGTATTAAGGAGTCGCTTATCGTAATCATCGGTGACACGCCCACCATATTGCACTTCACCGAGCATGTAACGTACGGTTACCCAGCTAATACCCTTTCCAGGCTCAAGATCATCTAAATGGTTTTGCACAAATAAACAACTGGCCAACCAATCAGAGGAGTTAAACTCATAAGGGATATTCCATCCGAGGGGTCCGCTCCTGTACTACGGTATGCAGAAAAGATATTGAATAGACAAGAGACAAATAAAATGGGGACTGTGAATAGTCCAAGAAATCTTGGGATAAATTGGTATAAGTTCGTTTAAGTCCAGCTCGAATTCCTGCTGGTGGCTCATTTGTATATTTTAGTGACATCTGCAGTAGTGTTATAGGAAACATTGGGTGAGGCTCGGTGGTTATCCAAATACGAAATCCTGGATTGATATATATTTTACTTTGTCGTTCTAATTCAAGAATTTGAAACATAAGTTCATTCATGTAGTCTAAACCTAAATGACAGTTTTGCAAAAGCACCCATCCACCTTCCTCCATGCATGTCGCAATTAATTTGCGAGCGTGGATTTCTTGCCCCTGACCCATTGAAATTGGATGACATTTGAGCTCATTCTTTTTAGCTAATAATTCAATATTCGATGAAGGATCTGAGCCAAGGGAAAGAAAACAAATCATTGGCACAAGTTCTCTACTTTCTAATAGTAACTCCTCAAAATTAAGAACTCCCGGCTCTGCGAATCGATCGCCCAATGAATGAGATATATATTTTCAGCCTGTTACATGCATTTGCACAAAACCATTATATCCTGACTTCCCATTTCAATGGGATCAGCGTATAATATTGAAACACAATGCTATTATTTATTTGAGACTTGATAATTTTTATTTTAAATTCCAACAATTTAACAATAATAAACGAAATGGATTTATTTAACATCACATAATAAAGCAACACCACGAAGCACCCAATGGTCTGGAGGCTTATTAGATTGAAGCCATAATGCACAAATATAATTCAGATCAGTGCGATTAATTTTTTTATAGACTGGACATGTGTATAGTTTTGGATTTTTTGCAGCTGTTGAGTATATAGCATAAACATGAACAACTGGCATAAGGGTAAATAAGACTTTGTTAGTTGACTCCACTAGGCGCGATGTTCGCCTGTCCCATCCAGCTCCATCTACATATAACCCATGAATAAAAACTCCCTCTTTAGGGGGCTTTTTGCACTCTTCTGGACCTACTTTGAGTGCATCATTATGCATTGTCACTTGGTCTAAAGCCCATCCTTGATGCGCGCGTGCAACTTCTTGACGCATTGCAGTAAGAAATCCTTGAGGATTAAAAAATCCCGACATCCAAAAAACAACTGGTCGCGATCCAAAACACCAATTGTAAAATTGAGTATGTCTGTCGATAAGCTCAGTAAACCAGAAGCCCAAACTAGAAGAGACCCAACTGCCCCGTTTAAATACAGTTGGTACGCGTGCATTAAAAATATTATCCAGGGCATCTCTTAAGTTTTCGCTCATAATAATAGTTCCTTCCACTGCTAGCAACAGATCTTTAAATGTGGATCGAACAAGGATAATTATCTACAATTAAATAAGTATTGAAATATATTCGTTTGTTATTTAATTCTATATTCATTTTACATACTCTTTGCATTCTATCTATTTCCTGTCGAAGAAATATATTCATGGAACTTGTGGCCCCAGCCGCTATGAGGATCTGCTTAACTTCAAATAAATCGAACGCTGGGGGAGTTTTGCTCAACATTTCTCGCACTTGACGAGCAACTCGATCTTCTCGAGTTTCAGATGTTCCGCTTGAGGATTCTTTTTGGATAGGTGGTATGGTAACGGATTACATAAGACAATTTTGATTTGAAATACTTACCTTTGGGTTGAATGGACATTATTTCATCTAATATATTTCTCATTGTATTTGTTTGATAAGTTATTTCGGCATTCGAATTAAAACCATACACTTGTGGAGGATCGACATTGAACATATTATCAATAGCTGATAAATATGCTTCGCGTTCTTTGAAACTGTATACGATGTATCCTTTAAAAAACTGAAAGCTCTCTTCGAAAAGGCCATCATGAAACCAAACTCGTGTAAACGTATTAAGGAGTCGCTTATCGTAATCATCGGTGACACGCCCACCATATTGCACTTCACCGAGCATGTAACGTACGGTTACCCAGCTAATACCCTTTCCAGGCTCAAGATCATCTAAATGGTTTTGCACAAATAAACAACTGGCCAACCAATCAGAGGAGTTAAACTCATAAGGGATATTCCATCCGAGGGGTCCAAATTTTCGCCGCTCCTGTACTACGGTATGCAGAAAAGATATTGAATAGACAAGAGACAAATAAAATGGGGACTGTGAATAGTCCAAGAAATCTTGGGATAAATTGGTATAAGTTCGTTTAAGTCCAGCTCGAATTCCTGCTGGTGGCTCATTTGTATATTTTAGTGACATCTGCAGTAGTGTTATAGGAAACATTGGGTGAGGCTCGGTGGTTATCCAAATACGAAATCCTGGATTGATATATATTTTACTTTGTCGTTCTAATTCAAGAATTTGAAACATAAGTTCATTCATGTAGTCTAAACCTAAATGACAGTTTTGCAAAAGCACCCATCCACCTTCCTCCATGCATGTCGCAATTAATTTGCGAGCGTGGATTTCTTGCCCCTGACCCATTGAAATTGGATGACATTTGAGCTCATTCTTTTTAGCTAATAATTCAATATTCGATGAAGGATCTGAGCCAAGGGAAAGAAAACAAATCATTGGCACAAGTTCTCTACTTTCTAATAGTAACTCCTCAAAATTAAGAACTCCCGGCTCTGCGAATCGATCGCCCAATGAATGAGATATATATTTTCAGCCTGTTACATGCATTTGCACAAAACCATTATATCCTGACTTCCCATTTCAATGGGATCAGCGTATAATATTGAAACACAATGCTATTATTTATTTGAGACTTGATAATTTTTATTTTAAATTCCAACAATTTAACAATAATAAACGAAATGGATTTATTTAACATCACATAATAAAGCAACACCACGAAGCACCCAATGGTCTGGAGGCTTATTAGATTGAAGCCATAATGCACAAATATAATTCAGATCAGTGCGATTAATTTTTTTATAGACTGGACATGTGTATAGTTTTGGATTTTTTGCAGCTGTTGAGTATATAGCATAAACATGAACAACTGGCATAAGGGTAAATAAGACTTTGTTAGTTGACTCCACTAGGCGCGATGTTCGCCTGTCCCATCCAGCTCCATCTACATATAACCCATGAATAAAAACTCCCTCTTTAGGGGGCTTTTTGCACTCTTCTGGACCTACTTTGAGTGCATCATTATGCATTGTCACTTGGTCTAAAGCCCATCCTTGATGCGCGCGTGCAACTTCTTGACGCATTGCAGTAAGAAATCCTTGAGGATTAAAAAATCCCGACATCCAAAAAACAACTGGTCGCGATCCAAAACACCAATTGTAAAATTGAGTATGTCTGTCGATAAGCTCAGTAAACCAGAAGCCCAAACTAGAAGAGACCCAACTGCCCCGTTTAAATACAGTTGGTACGCGTGCATTAAAAATATTATCCAGGGCATCTCTTAAGTTTTCGCTCATAATAATAGTTCCTTCCACTGCTAGCAACAGATCTTTAAATGTGGATCGAACAAGGATAATTATCTACAATTAAATAAGTATTGAAATATATTCGTTTGTTATTTAATTCTATATTCATTTTACATACTCTTTGCATTCTATCTATTTCCTGTCGAAGAAATATATTCATGGAACTTGTGGCCCCAGCCGCTATGAGGATCTGCTTAACTTCAAATAAATCGAACGCTGGGGGAGTTTTGCTCAACATTTCTCGCACTTGACGAGCAACTCGATCTTCTCGAGTTTCAGATGTTCCGCTTGAGGATTCTTTTTGGATAGGTGGTATGGTAACGGATTACATAAGACAATTTTGATTTGAAATACTTACCTTTGGGTTGAATGGACATTATTTCATCTAATATATTTCTCATTGTATTTGTTTGATAAGTTATTTCGGCATTCGAATTAAAACCATACACTTGTGGAGGATCGACATTGAACATATTATCAATAGCTGATAAATATGCTTCGCGTTCTTTGAAACTGTATACGATGTATCCTTTAAAAAACTGAAAGCTCTCTTCGAAAAGGCCATCATGAAACCAAACTCGTGTAAACGTATTAAGGAGTCGCTTATCGTAATCATCGGTGACACGCCCACCATATTGCACTTCACCGAGCATGTAACGTACGGTTACCCAGCTAATACCCTTTCCAGGCTCAAGATCATCTAAATGGTTTTGCACAAATAAACAACTGGCCAACCAATCAGAGGAGTTAAACTCATAAGGGATATTCCATCCGAGGGGTCCAAATTTTCGCCGCTCCTGTACTACGGTATGCAGAAAAGATATTGAATAGACAAGAGACAAATAAAATGGGGACTGTGAATAGTCCAAGAAATCTTGGGATAAATTGGTATAAGTTCGTTTAAGTCCAGCTCGAATTCCTGCTGGTGGCTCATTTGTATATTTTAGTGACATCTGCAGTAGTGTTATAGGAAACATCGGGTGAGGCTCGGTGGTTATCCAAATACGAAATCCTGGATTGATATATATTTTACTTTGTCGTTCTAATTCAAGAATTTGAAACATAAGTTCATTCATGTAGTCTAAACCTAAATGACAGTTTTGCAAAAGCACCCATCCACCTTCCTCCATGCATGTCGCAATTAATTTGCGAGCGTGGATTTCTTGCCCCTGACCCATTGAAATTGGATGACATTTGAGCTCATTCTTTTTAGCTAATAATTCAATATTCGATGAAGGATCTGAGCCAAGGGAAAGAAAACAAATCATTGGTACAAGTTCTCTACTTTCTAATAGTAACTCCTCAAAATTAAGAACTCCCGGCTCTGCGAATCGTTCGCCCAATGAATGAGATATATATTTTCTACTTTGGGCAATAGTTCGGTCCATACACCAGGAACGAATAAGAAGCATCTTGCGAAATGGATCAAGTGAATTAAAACCATCTGGTATAACTTCATTTTCAGGAGAATCTTTTTTAAACCATATAAACCAGCCTCGCTCATTTCCGCTTATTTTAGTAAGTATGTTAACAAATGGTGATAAACTAGTAAGCTGTACCAGATTCAGCCATGTTTCATCTGTTACCCAGCGAAATGGCACAGGAGGACAGTCGTTTAAATTTATTGCTGCACCTCCCTTAATGAATGTCTGGAAATCATCAAATGTAATCAATTCTAATTGGCGATCAATACTCAATGCCATAAGAAGCACAAACAAAAATTTATCCTTTTCATAAAGTCCACGAGATTTATATCTATAAATTTCCAGTGTTAAGTAATTTATTATTCGTTTTATACGCTTCTGTATAATATGAGTCTTTGCTGAATTATGCATAGAAGCATCAAATCGATCTAAGAATTGGACCAAAGATGTTTGGTACATGTTGTTAACCATAGTCATACTACAAACGAGAAAGTATAGCACGCTCCCTCGAGTGGCCACAACACGATATTCTTCACGAGCGGCATTTATCTTAAACTCTGTTAATTTGGCCACTTCAATTTTTTCTTTGACATCAATAGCTGTGTTTTTACTTGTGTTCAGTACTTCAATAACTGTTACATCATCAAGTAGACTTCCTTGTGTAGTAGATAATTTATGCAGCAGATTTGCCTCAAGCTCTTTCATTTTTTTCATATTTACTGTAACTGTCTCCACTAATTGGACACGTTCATCTTCTAGCTCTTTTCTTTCAGTAAGTATGACACGACCTAATAATTGATCCTCTAATCCACGCATCGTGACAGTAAAGTCAATAATCGAGGTTCTTGCAAAAATTTCCGGTGTATAAGCTGGATTAGGAAGCTTAGTTGTAATGTAACACCTAAACTCTGGATTCCAGTCAACCTCCTTATCACCTATTTTAATTTTGTATTGCGTGCCTACTTTAAGCAAGTTACGATCCAGTAAATTATCTAGACAGGGATCCAATTCTTCTGCAACATCTTCAATAATTATAGGATATCCCAAGTTCAGAGAATCTTCAATATGATTACGAAAATATTTGTGATTTAAGGTGGTAATGATTAACTGATTTTGTTTCTCCATATTTTTTATCCAAACTTTTCCTTGAGATTGAGGGTCGATGAGTAATGGAAAGCGTCTGGCCTTTGTTGCAATTATTCCATTTTGTATAGATAGTTCATCAGTGGGCAGTCCTTGTATATTCCACTCACCAATTTGTGAGCGATCTGTAAGATTATCTATGATATTTACACTCGCTGAAATCGGAATCATTTTCTCAATAATTTGTTTAGTCCAGAGACTTAAGAAAATACTGCGAAACTCTTGATTAAAGGGACCAGTATAAGACAGAAATGCAGTAAGCAAAACAACATCTCCTACCAAACGTTCAGTTTCACTTTTGAATGACGCTATCTGTTCTGTCCAACGAATTTTTTCGCCAGCTAATCCACCAATAAGAGCAGTTGCAGCATCCATTTTGTCCTGACATTTTTTTGCTTCAGCCAAAACAGTTTGTTTTTTAGAAATAGCTTCTTCTAATGTCCGTTGTACTTCGGCTAATTCATTTTCTTTTTGTTGTAGTAATTCTTCAGCTTCACGTAAATCCTCTGATGCTCTTTGATATTTTGCCTCTTGAACAGCTAAGTTGGCTTTTAATGGAAGAACTTCTTTATTAACTTCAAAATATTTAGCCATAGCCATTGTCCATGACAGCAATCCAGCTACGTTTCCACAAGCCACTTTCGCAGCTTCAAAAGTATATTGACTGGAAAAATAGAATTTGTTTACCACAATTTAAATAAGATTAATATTTATGAACCCTTTTATGTGTTAAGAACGTAGATATATTACAAAGGTAGTGCGCGGTAAATATGAATATAATAAAAAAGTGCATTAGAAGTAAATGACGGAAACATTTTAATAAGAAGTTAAAATTCAATAGTTTAAATAAATGGCAGTTTAGATTTACCCCTCGCCGCATTTCTCGAAAAAAGGCATGACGAATGATTCCACATTGTCGGCTGAAGACAATCGAGAATAATGCTTAGCTAATATGTACATTTATTAATTTATGTACTGTACAGCAGTGACGAATGGTTCAGATTTAAATAAATGCCGTCCAACTGGCAGTTTAGAATTACACCTCAGTCTGCGAAACTCATAGTAAATTATTCGTGCGGACCATTATTAATTATCATAAGACATTCTTAAAAGGACGATGCTTACGATATAATATGCATATCCGCGCAATCCTAGACAACCTATTTTGATGAGAGAATCAGAGACACTCTGGTATATGAAACCATAGGTTTCTTCTTTTGCTTGCTAAATGAGCTGAATTGTCCTCAGAATAGACTGAAACAGTAGCGAGATGT